ATATAGATATCATTTGGGAACATCTGCCAGCTGAACATTACATCAGTTCCTTTTCTGCATTCTCTGCTGTTAGTATTTGTTAAAATTCTAATTTTAAAATACGCATATTTTGCTTCATATTTGCTTGTGTATATTGTGTATCTTTATGTATATAATTTTCTTGCATTTAATTTTACACAGTTTTATTTTATAAGAGATAATCATTTTAATGCGAATTCGATTTTTTGAAAATATTTACTATCCAAGAGAATTATCATTATCATTAAGATAGAAAGATGAATCACAAAGTGGCAAGAACTATAATTCATGAAAAATCAATTGTGCAATCTTGTGTTGCAAATCGCGTGGTTATGCCATTTCCATTGCAATAACCACGGCATCAATCGAAATCACACGCGATAACATACAGTATCTTCGTCCTGAGACGAAGAGAAAGGTAGAAGGAGGAAGACAGGGAGGGTGGACTCTCTCGAGGTGCGAGCTTCGTCATTGTCACGAGGCTGACACTTCGGGATATCAGACCTCGGTCTGGCCATTAATAATCTTAGCCCGAACGAAGAAACAAAGAGGAGGAGCACGGAGAAGAGTGCGGCGAAGTTGTGAACGAGAGGGTACGGGTACGGGGTACGCGCGCAGTTCGCGCGCATCACGTCCGTTCACCACCACCATCATGCAGCCACGCTCGGCGTATACGTGGTAGATATGTTCGAATGTGTCCGATGCGTTCGATAGGGCGGGACACGGGCATAAACAATTGCGCGTCGGCCTCGCCCCTTCCCGATGCGATGTAATAAAACGAGAGGTCTCTTGCCGGTCTTCCTCTGCCGCCCCGATCCCGAGAGGAGTTCTCCTCATCGGGGCCCCAGGGCCAAGAATATCGAAATGAACCGGCGTCCACGCGATATTTTAGCGAGCCACGGGGGTCGTACGTACGTGGCCAGGTACGTAACGCAAGCCCCGACCTCCTACGACCGTGCTCCGAGATCTCCGGTGTTCGATTGAAAGCCGAGAGCTGGCAAATTTTTAATATCGTACGTGATCATTGCTGAGATTACGCTGGAGTGCACGCACACCTCCAAAAAGGAAAACCCCCTTGCGCGGCTCATTCAAATGGTCCATAATTATCGTTGTGAAAATGAATCTCGAAGCCCTTGTAAATAACGTTGCGATTAATCAACGCAATCGATTTACGGAAAAAAATCAATATAATATTTGTCGGGCTGCCGATTTTGCATTCGTGACCTTTGCTTTCGAGATCGACACGACGGCATTTTTTCTTGCACGCATTTTTCTTCAATTTGGATCACGCATTCGTTCAATTTTTCATTCTTTTAGAAAAAGAAATCTCAAATAATAGGCTTGGCCTAAAATAGAAGTAGTATTTTAATTAAAATAAGTATTACAAAGTATTACACGTAAAAAGTGCTATATTTCGAACTAATCTCATCGATATTTCCTGCTTGGTTTCAAACAATGTATGCTTTCAAATAATTAAACTATATAGGTTTTATATTAATTAAATCAAATGACAAATCTAGTTTCCTAATTTATTAGAATAAATCATATAATATAAGATAAAGATTTGCAAGTTAAACTTGTGTGTGCGCGCTAAAAATGAAAGTAATACAATCGAAATAATCAATATAGTTGGCATAAATATAAAATCAAGTAATTTTAAAATATATATCTTATATAGCATGAATATAAATATGAGATTTGTTATATGAGCTAAAAATTTCAAAATTAATGCAGATAGTTATATATTTGATGTAAATTTTTATTTATACGCAATGATTATATTTCAGTAAAAAATAATAAGATTTAAATACATTTTTTATTTAATAGTGTAACTGATTTAGTAGGTATATATATATATATGATGATAAAATATGCTGTATTTGTATTTATACAATACGTATATTAATATAATGTGCATTATAAAATATTTGTTAAATTGCTATATTGTTTCGTAAATATAATTAAAAAAGATAATACGCTTGATTTGGAAAATTTAATTAATCTCCAATCCTTTTTTAATATCGAATTTGAGAAAGAATTTTCAATTTCAGGGATTAAATCAAACAATTCTAACGCATTAAGGAAGCTACTTGTTAAAGTGTGTACATATATTTGTGGGTGTATGTATATATGTTTATGTGTGTGCGTGCGGAACGCTTCCTTTCTTAAAAGTAGATTAATACCGAGCGATGAAGCGACCGCGAGCAATGGGAAGGATGTGGAAGGAGGGACGGGGCAAGAAAAGAGAGAGGCGAGGTGATGGTCATTCTCCTGCGGCAGGACGGACAATAGCAACTCCGCGAAGTGTAGCGGACAAACAAATAGCCAATTAAAATTCCGGTTGCACGGCGAACATACTTGTATCAGCTGCAATACTACCATTGTGCACCGAAGGCATGCGCAAGCCGGTGTCTGTATCGGTTGACTGGGTCTGGTACCAGAAGATCGGTTGCTTACGACCAACCTTCGAGGATTATCTCCGCGGTAAACTCGTTTGCACCGTCCACTCGACTAAATCTTACCTCACGAAACATCGTTATCGTCGAATCACGCCTTTATCGCGGTCGATTCGTGGTCTCATGCGAGAGCTTCTTTCGCATCCGTATATTTGGGCACCGCATTACAGTAGCGATTTAAGTTACACGCGAGATATACCGGCGTTAATAATCGGCAGATTTTGTCGTAGACGGGAAATTCTTGCAACGGTGCCGTATCGATTTCCGTTGCGTTTCGCTGCCTCGACGTTCGATAAAATTCGCATGATTAATTAAGACGGAGAATTAATTATCTGGAAGCAGAGCGCCTCGTTCCCACTCACTGCACTTAAGTATAAATGTCAGATTCGAAATTACTTCCTCACCTCCGATCTCACCATCGTCTTCCCGATCCGGCGTGGATGTTATTAGGAAATCGTTTAATTGGTAGATATCGATTTTAACTGGCATTATGAATGGTTACAAGCGTCACGGGGTTATTAAAAAGATAGAAAACATATTATCCTATTACAAACCTGCGGCAATCGCAGCGAGATAACTGCCGCGAAAGAATCGGATGAGGGCGAGTAATCGCGAAGAACGAGGCCATGCTTTATCGACTCGGAGTCGTGCGAATTATAGCGACTCCCTAAACTTCAAATATCGGAAGTCCGTTAAAGTCCGACACTATTGTAATCGATCGATATCCCTCGATATTCGCCGATTTTCCGTCCGGCGTGGTGAGAATGAACGATTACTAAATTATAACGCGCCCTTAGATACGATCGGCGGGCCATAATTGCAGGACTATTCATACATTATTGGCTCGTATATTATTTGACGCGATTCAATAACTCTGTAGCGGGACGGTCGATGGTATCTCTCCGTCGTTAAGGTTGCATTCGCAATATCGATTGGCCTTGATGAATGGCTGCGTTTAAAGTCGTCATTTTTCCCGGCGATTATTAACACTAAAATTGAATGTGTCCGTGAGCGGGCGCGGATCGGGCGGCCGAATGGACCACGCGCGAAAAACGAGACCTCTCTTTCTCTCTCTCTCTCTCTCGGGAGGCAGATCCATCTTCGAATGTGTGTTAAAACCGCGCGATGCCCAAACTACCGGGAACGCCTCGCTCGCTACTCCTAAATGCAGCGGACATGATTTATCTGCGAGCACCAAAGTAAATGGAAAAGTTTTACTTTTTTAACCGGCCCCTTTTCAGATGGTCTAGATTGTCGCTCGAGCATTATATCGCAGGCGCAAGGAGTTACTTTCAACGCGTACATTGGGAAGAATATATGGCATCGCACGTTTTTCTTTTTTCTTCTTTTTTTTTTTGCTACGGTTTGCCTGGAGTCTTTAGGCCTGTCCTGAAGATAATATAACAAGTTGACGTTAACAATCTCCCGTCCATTCATTTGAATATATATGATATATTCGACTTCTTTTTTAAAAATCTTAGACAGAACTTCCACGATACATTTAAATTTTTTCTTTACATAAATTTCCATCAAAGCATGGTTACAAAATTATTAAACATTACAAATTGAAGATGAAAAGATAAATAAAATTATTCTGTTATTTTCACACACGAAATTACATGGGAATGTATAACGTATTAGGCATGAAAATTTACTACGGAGCTTTATCATTAATATCAGCTATCGAGGATTTGTTTTCGTCATATTTTATTTCACAGAAAAAAACTCGGAATAAACTATTCTCGGAATTTTAATGGACGGAGAAATCCTTCGTGCAAAAACCGATGGAGAAGGTCGCGTATCATTTAACATATGGCTACGAGGTTAATTATTTCACTCGAAATAGTCATTAAAATCATATTCATTTGCTACGATCGACTAATAGGTCTCGGCGGAGCCGAATGTTTTATGCGCGTGCACGCATACGCAACGCGTGCGTGGATATATCCGCGGGAGTATGCCGCAGGCCGCGGGAGCGAGCTTGGAACACTGGAACAGCCGGAGCGATGGGAGACACAGGGAGAAAAGGGGGGGGGCCACTTGCGTTTCTACGACTACCTGCGGCTAATTTACAGCAAGGCGCGCGAATAAGTTCCGCCGTTATTCTACCAGCCGGAGTTTCTCTTCTGTGCGGTTACCTCTTCTTCGTGGACGTTCTCTCTCCCTCATAACGGCGATATACCTGATTAACTTCAAAAACTGATGCCTTGTTTCTGCGTAGGTCGATCCGGCTCTACGTAAGAGTAAGTAGTCGATTCAAACGCCGTTCGTTTATAGGCCCCTTCCTGAGAAGTAGCGACCACCGCGACGAGTGTCTGGAGTTAATAAGTAGAAGAAGGAAGCGTACCACGCGATTCAGGTAATGAGAATGATAAAACGCCGCGGCTGATAAAAGTAAAGCGTTAATATGTCTCGAATGAAAAGGGTGCAAGTACATGCGTAATTATTAAAGTACACAGGACGAGTCGTGTTCTCATTAAACGTTCCGCTTATACAGCTTATACTCGGTGAGCCAACGACTGGAGCATGGCTGACGAACGATCAGACACATCTAAGAGGGATGATATTCTAAAGAATTGCAACAACAAAGTCGACGCCAAAGTGCCAGATGATGTTAAATATGACGACGTAAGTCGGGGATAATGTTCTTTTATATTTATTGAATGAAAGATTTAAATCTAGAGAAAGAGAGAGAGAAATAACGTGTAATCATGTGACATAAAAAATATTTTTATCGGTATAAAATATAAATTTCTGGTAAATGGGCTTTGTTAATGTATAAGACAACGTTTTTAATTTAATAGGTCGATAAAATTCCGATCACGACAACTACCACAAAGAATGCTTTAATAACAAGACAGCTGGGAGAATGCGAAGCCTACCCGCATTGTATTAAAATTTCGATTATTGGTACAAGAAAAGTTGGAATGGCTTGCGCGATTGCAATTTTGATGAAAGTTAGCATATATACATAGAAATAATTTATAATTCACAGCATATGACTAGCAGCTTAATTTTGCATAATATTTAGCGCATAGCAAGTGAGGTATGTCTGATCGATCAGAATTTGGACAAGGCTTCTGCCGAAGCCGAGGATATTCAACACGCCGGTATTTTTTTAGGATGCCCGCTGGTAATTGGCACGTCAGGTATTTTTAATGTTAAATACATTTAGATATTATATACATTGCACAATAAATGGAAACAATTACAAAATAAATTTATCCAATCATCATATCTTTCTTTATTGCTTTCTAATCGTACATCTTTCTTAAAAGGAACATGTTGTCAGTCGCATTATCCGTGTTAGATAAAGCCAGTATTAGGGTTGTCATAATGGCCCACACTTTAGATGATCCGTCGTCATGCTTTATCCACAATCACGGAATCAACGAATTGTGAACGTATGATGATATGGGTCATCCGCGTGTTAGATGCGAGGCAGCTTCGTTCGTGACAGCATTCTAGACAGAATTCTAAAAATTTCAGATTGATATGTCCAAACTGATGAGCTTGCCGGGCGTTGCTGGTGTGTCACGATCATAGACATAATATAAATAGATCGAGCATGCTATATATCAGGTAAGGGCGATATGTGCGAGTGAAAAGAAACAACACCTGATTCTCTCTCTCTCTCTCTCTCTCTCTCTCTCTCTCTCTCTCTCTCTCTCTCTCTCTCTCTATCTCTCTTTTTTCTCTCTCTAATAGAAGAAAAATCTATGATAGACATAGTCCCCACTTAATGTTTCCTCCACTTTCTTTTATTAGAGAGAGAGAAAAAAATCAGGTGTTTTCTCACTTGCACATCTCGCCCATTGCTTGGTATATAGCACGCTCGGTTTATGTATACTATGTCTATGGTCACGATCATCGGCTCTGATCAACACCCATTTTAAACGACGACCTGTCAAGCTGCCCGTCAAGGGACCCCTGTCAACGTGTTCAGAAACAACGGTCGCAGCATTCTCGCATAGGTGGGTTTCGGATTAGCGGCGAGTTTCGGGGCCAGGATCCCCTCGGACCTGTCCTTTAATCTCGATTCTCATCTACATCGCCGGGCTTACACGCCGGCGAACTGGGCGAGCGTTTCCCTTGAGCTTTCCATGGACTACACTGTAAATCTCGTCCACTCTTATTTATCTCGGCTGTGATCAACTCCACGACGCGGTTTTCTGTTTCTGTTTTCAGCATGCGTACTGCGCACGGTTACCCCGTCCAACGAACGGCCGGTTGTAAAAGCGCTGTATTCTTCGTGGGAATCCAGAAGGACAGAGAATAAGTGGAAAGTGTGGCACGACCAAGTTTGATCTCATGGATAGTTTCATCGAGTTGCCGCACGTGTGATCTCAGGAATGATTTTGGTTTGTTCGAATTTTCTCGACGTTGCGTTGGTATTTGTAGCCTATATAGGATAGCGGAATGATTCTTTTCTGATCTTGTCTCGTGCGAGGTAGCAATTACTGGAACAAGTGGGACGACTTTTTTACGGGCTTGCCAAGTTATCTGTAACAACATCTCTCTCCGTCGTAAATGTATCTTCCGTATAGTCGCATATACCGCTGCGTGTTACTACAAGCGCTTTGTGAAAGTGTTGCCTCGGATCTGTACTCTTTATTTTTCCGACCACGCCGGATTGTCTTCCCCGCCGTAGTTATCGGCGCATCTCTTCCGATGGTGATTCTCTCTCGAAAGGGGAGAAAACTTCTTATCCGCTCTCGTCGTTTTGTATTCCACGCGCTTCCGAGGAGCTGATGATTGCGCGATTGAAGAAGACGTTCTCCGGAGAGAGGGTTCTCCGGAAAGATATATCTGATTCTTAACGGAGCTATTTCCCGTTACGACTTCTTTTGCGTGAATATCCAAGTGTCTTCTCCAAAGATCCGATGCGATTTATGCTTTAACTCTCTCAGGAAAATTCTTAAAGCATTAAAACACATTTGTATTTAAAAATCATTATTCTACGATAATCTGAGCTCTACAATCGATTTCAGATATCTACAAGATAAAAGATTCAACAGTAATAATAATAGCGGCTTGCGAAAGGAAATCCGGCGAGGAGTTAATTGTGAAACGCAATATCGAGGTGTTCAAGAAGATTATCCCTACAATTGCAAAGCTGGCTTGCAAGGCGGTGTTATTAGTTGTAACTCAACCGATCGACGTGATGTCGTACATCACCTGGAAGTTGTCCAAGTTTCCTTCAAACAGAGTACTTGGTACGGGGACTCTACTCGATAGCTGCAGATTTCAGGATTTACTGAGTCGGAAGTTGGGGCTGGCTCGTACGTCGATCAATTGTATAAGTATCGGTGCGCAAGGCGACACGTCTGGTAATTGATAACTTTCTAATTAATTTTACATAAATGTATAATAATTAGAAGTTTCTTCTGTTATCAATGCGATGCATACTTTGAGCGATAAGATTTTTCTGAATTTTTAATCTAATATTAATTGAAATATACTTTCACAAATATTATAAATATATAGAGATGTTATTTTTACAAATAATATTTGTAAACAAAAAATATCATGCGTTACTTTTGTTATACTATAAATAATTTAACTGTTGATAGTGATTCTTTCCTTCCAACATCTGCTGTTTTACACAGTTCCCATATGGTCGAGCGTTCACGTAGCGGGTACGAAGATACGCGATATAAACCCGCAAATGGGTGAGGCAGATGATCCCGAGAAGTGGCGTGACATCTCCGAAGCTGTAAATAAAACGTCAGTAGTTAAGATCACGGGACATTCACGAGAGAATTTAGGAAAGTAATAAAATGTTCATATTGTCTTTACAGCGACGCGGAGCTTAATCGAAGGAAAGGGGAAAAGGGCCGAGCTGCTGGGCTCTCGGCTTCTGCACCGCTGAGATCGTCGACGCCATTGTTAGAAATACTAAAGCCGTATTACCAGTATCAACGTATATACACGTGAGAAATATAATCAAATTAACATTCAATAATTTTTGTAAAATTATTGAGTAAATTTAGTTGGATTTTGATAGCTTTTCGTTGACGTTACTCCGAAACTTACAAAGAAACAAGTTGATTTAATTTAAAAAATGAATGCAAATTACATAAAAATTCAATATTAACTTTTCTGATACCAATTATTTCATAGATTACAATATAATTAATTAGAAATAAAATAAAAAAAGTTGAAATTTGCATATAAGATAACAAAAAATGGTTAAAATATGATTTTTTATATTTTATATTGGTTTATTAATTTTATTGACCTTTTATTGACAAGCAAACGTATTTTCGCACATTAGATAAAAATATTCTGAGACGTACTTATTCGCATGTCGATTGGTACGACAGACGAAACAAGATCAAGGGATTTCTGTTTGCAGAGTTGCACTCACGGGACTGACAAAGACGTGTACATGTCGGTACCTTGTGTTCTCGGTCGAGAGGGTGTGTGCGCCATGGTACGACAGAAGCTAAACGACCGGGAAAAGACGGCGATACAACGGTGCGCCGACAGCATCCGCGGTGTGCTGCGTGAGTGCGGCATTCTTCGCGAGTCGAGCGACGTTGAAGAGTGACGACTGACCGTGAAAAAGAGAAGAGCGAGAAACGTGGAGGATCTGCAAACGAACGCGAACGGATATAATGTGGACGCGACGCGGAAATAATGTGGAAGAGGAGAGGGACGGGAAGGAGACGACGTCCTAGAATGTATCTTCATCAATAAAGACGAAATGCTGCACCTGGCAACCGGTTTTCGCGTGCGTACATTCGATCGTCGTAATAAACGATATATGAGTGAAACTCGACTTCCTGGAAAATTAAACCAGCCGCGTTCCTAAGATTGCTTACGAACGATACATGCAACTCGCGCCGCAATGTTCCACGCGTACGGAGCTGATTACGTTTCTTTTTTATTCGATCGAATTTTGATTTACGCAACCAAACGATGTACAGCGGAAAGGTGAAAGGGCGGATGAAAATGCACTCTCCACTCTCTTGCATGCGAAGCGAACGCATGGTTGAGAGTTGCGGCTAAAGGAGATTGGATAATTTAAACTACAACCTTTTTTCTATATTAGCTTTGGCCTTCGTTATATAGTGAAGTCATTGTATTACATGTATGTATATATATAT